TCTTTGTCTCTACCTTATCCCCACCTAGGTGGGGTCGGCACAGCTAACTTTACTCTTCCATTCTATTCTATCAGCTGTCATCTCAACACTCATTCCTCTCTCTCTCATATCGTCATTCACACATTTCATCGATATCTTCTTCGGTCGACCTCTTTCTGTTATACCTTGCACTACCATTTCCATACATCTCCTAGTCACATACATCTTCTTTCTATGCAACACATGTCCATACCACGCTAACCGTTCGCTCTTTAATTTTTTGTTGTAAATATAAAAGAAATTAATAGAAATATAATTTATGTAACAGTTTTAAATGTGGCTCTGAAAAGAATGTTTAAACTATTCCTCAACCTTTCCGTTTGAAGATTTCTCACATCAGCAGACCCGAATGAGTTTTAGTTGGCGATTGGTTCTATTGTTTCTAGCAATAAAAATTATATCGAGGGGTAAAAAGACTACTGGGTTTAAGTGACATGTTTGCAACTTTACAGGAGGGAAAGCCTTTTAAAGTTTAAAATTTGGAAAAAATATCAAAACAAAAAACTTCTTCAGATACTTGGGAGTTAACTTACTTGAAGTTCAATTAAAAACAACGGACTGTTGATCCTAATACCAAATAAAACGCACCTTTAATAAAAAAGATAACTAACTGTCGAATATTAAGCGAAATGACACTTAAACCAAATAACTTTGCACCCCTCAATATAATCCATAACGTCCGAAATTACATATAGATTAAATACAATCATAATTAAATTATATTGACGTGGGTCAATCTTGATTGGTTTTCGAAACATGTTTATTGTAAAGACTTGTATGTTTCAGATTGTATTTGTAGACGTTATCACTAACCATAATTATACGATAGAAACAGACACCCTGTCTGAGCTCGCCATTTTGACAAGTCCCATTTCAATACGGCATGAAATATAACAGCAATTGAACGTAACGACCTATTTATTTGCTAACTGAAAAATTATATTGAGCCATCTGTATTTGTACTGGCAATTAAAATACTTTTATTTCGATATACAATGCTTGGTTTTTTTCTACGTTTTCAAATACAAAAAAACATGTTTATTATTCCTAAGTTATTTTTTTTCGACTGATGAATATTATAATGGGACGACGATTGAAATGAGTTTTGGGTAATCGTGGTAAAACACAAGGACATACGTATCAAAATATGATAACCGGTCATTGACATCTATCATCGTATACAATCGACATAGCATATTTTGAGTAGGCTAGGGCAAAGGTCAGACTTCTAAACAGATCACTCATATCATCCAATTCATCCATAGCTAGTTTTTAATTTTTTTATTGCTTAGATGGGTGGACGAGCTCACAGCTCACCTGGTGTTACTGGATACCATAGACATCTACAACGTAAATGCGCCACCCACCTTGAGATATAAGTTCTAAGGTCTCAGTATAGTTACAACGGCTGCCCCACTCTTCAAACCGAAACGCATTACTGCTTCAGGGCAGAAATAGGCAGGGCGATGGTACCTACCCGTGCGGACTTACAAGAGGTCCTACCACCAGTAAAATAATAATAGTAAAATAGTAGCAATAGTTTTATTTTGCTAAACGTTTCTTAACTTCTTAAAATTAACTTAATTAAAACAAGAACCGACTAAAAGTATTTACAAATAAATTTGGAAGTAAGAGAATAAAAAATCAAAATTTTAATACGGAGATCTCTTAACTTTTTTTGTATCCCACTTTAATAATATAAAATGAAAATAAAGCATGCTAATTTAGAAACAAAACTAAATATTTGATGTGTGCTCGTGCAAAAGCCGAAGATTACTATGCAAATAACACAAGTCACGGATACTGCTAATGAAATAAATATAGAAATGAACGGTGTTCGTTATATGCAAAATTTATCTTAAATGATAAAGGAACAGCGCTGTGTAATGTCGATGAACTGTACTATAATTTACTATAACATGGTAAATTTATAAATTTATTCTAATAAGGTGTTTAAAATTAAAATTCGTTTCTGTTTGTTCGTAGGCAGCGGCTTGGCTCTGCCCCGTGCATTACTGAAGTCCATGGGCGACGGTAACCACTCACCATCAGGTGGGCCGCATGCTCGTTTGCCTACAAAGGCAATAAAAAAAAAATAAAAAAAAATCGTGCTCTATGCGTTCGTGCGTCAATTACCAGACTCAAAAATGTATACAGATTTTTCTTCTTTTAACGGTAGGCAGCGGCTTGGCTCTGCCCCTGGGATTGCACGTCCATGAGCGACGGTAACCACTTACCATCAGGTAATACAATGATATTTGAGGAACTCAATAAACAAACACGTATAAGAAAATATAAAGAATTTCAAAATAAATACTAGTTAAAAAACACGCTTTTGTGAGTGGCCGTAGAAAATTTTTTTTTCAAGCTGATTTAAAAATCTGAAATAAGAAAATATCTCTAAAATAAATAAGAAATAAAATAAAATTGAACTTGAATAAAAATAAAAATAGAATTTTCTACGCGAGTCGTTGACATAATTAATTAAACTACTTTTAAGATTTATTTTCGCATTTTTAACTAAAATCAGAATTAAGCTATCAACAAGACACTTAATATTATGCATATATTTTGTGCAATTTTTTCTATATCCGCATAAGATACAATAACGAATCGCATGAATTCGCGTAGGGTTATCATGCGTAGAGCAAACGTATGATTTCATTATGCATATTAGAAAATTTGTTGTATGACGAATTTTCAAATGCATTTACGATTGCATTTTATACAATAACTAGCCGACCCGGCAGATTCCTAGTGCCTCAATCGATAAATAAAAGACTTAAGCTTTTGTATAAAATAAACTTAAAACAAACAAAAGAAATCCGTCCGACGCGACGAAGGAAAAACAAAATTGTTATTTTTATTTAATTCCGAGCATTTTCATATTTAGCTACATTTCAAACTTTCTCTGGAATTCCACAAATAATTCAAGACCAAAATTAGTCAAATCGGTCCAGCCATTCTCGAGTTTTAGCGAGACTAACGAACAGCAATTCATTTTTATATACATATATAAGTATAGATATGTTATTGTTTAATCGAAGTACACGGATCATTATCGCAAACAAAGACAGGTGTTACGGTTTCTCTTATGATAACAACAGAAACTGCCGATCGATATTTTTTTGTATATTTTTTAAGTGACGCAATCGAACACGTTTCAATGTCAGCTGACACCCGGGGTTTGTATTTGAGCCAACGTATGCCAGCTGTCTCGTTTTTCATTTAAATTAATTTAGTAAAAACGTTTATAGTTAACTGCCATTTCGACTTCAGAAACAGTCCTAACATGTTGCACCTTACGAACAGAAAGACGAATGCGGTTTCGAGTATATTATATTATGAATGACAGAAACAATTGGCCAACGCATATTCAAAGCAAAGAGAAATATTAATTTTTATCGAATTTCACTTTTTTTTTTTATCAGGTTTCGTTTTAGTTTTAATATTCTACGTTAAAAGATAAAACTATATTTATTTTAAATCCGAGTAATTCAAGAATACAATCAGTGAAGAATCACAGAATCTAAACACACAGAGAATTATTCATTATTTTTCTATACTCCTAAATAACCAAGACTATGTGTAGCGGACGGTTTCTTGTTTATATTTTAGGTTTTGAGGAAGATTTTACAATAAAAATTAAGATGCACATCTCGTAGCTGACAGTTTTTATTGACAGCCGTAGAGAAAAAAATAAAAAAAATTATATATGACAATTGTTGCTTTGCTATTAAACTTTTTACGGGCGTTCCGAACACTATAGATAGCATTTTTAACTTACATTTTAGATACACCGTCTTATGATAGCGGGTGATATGATTGACGTAATACGTACGTATTCATAAAATACGTACCTATTACTAAAAGAAGAGAAAGTGTTTTAGCCGACTTTAAATAAAAAAAGGAGGAGATTCGCAATTAGGGGCGTGTATCTTTAGTTTTTGTTTCCAATGAAACTCGTGGCAATGTAGAACGGAGACAAAAATCGCGGATATCCTCCGCCGGAAGAACTTTGTAATGGATGTGGTTACAACAATGTGTTTTCCTCGTACGCTGTATGCTTTGTTGTATATTTTTTGACTCTGATAATTAACACTGTACAATTATGTACATGTTTCTTCTTCATCAATCTGAACCTATTGTTCGACTGTTAAAAAAAATACGTGTGTCTCTCCATCGTCGAAGATTGACAAATAAATATATTGTGGTGTTATTTGGATGTCTACGATTTCAAAGCAGCGATTTTTACTTTCATATGACGAATTAAATTTTGATTATAATTTTGTATGCGATTAACGCGCAATAAATCCATCACCGATGGTGATGAAAGCTTGAAGCGATGTAAACTTGAAATGAGTTGACGAGAATACCACATTTTTTCACGTTTTGATTTCTATGAGATGAGGAAACCACTTAACAAAGGGCAGATCGTCACCTCATCTTCACTTCTCAACTAGCTCACAAAATTCTAACGCCAGATGGTACATAGCAAAAAATATCTCTGGAAACGCACTGTGGATGAATGCAGTGGCTCCAGGTAGTATGATGAACTCTACTCCGGTGGCGGGCGCGGTGCGATGGTAAAAACGAGATGATGGAATCATCTCAAGCAATTCCTCAAAGCACTATCACAGTGCGGTCACTGAATTGGATTTTAGGTACGTACGGATCTACAAATCATCATCTCTAGTACAACATGTTTCATACTTTCTAAAGTACAAATTTAAGGCAGTAGAAGCCGCGGAGCAGTTCGAGTATTTTCACATTTACAATAACTAACTAATCGATTATAACCTGTTCTAATTTCAAAAAACTATTTTGCGATTCCATTATGAAATTTACTTTTCTTTGCATTCTTGTTTTATTGTAATATCGATTCTGCGGTTCTCATATGATGGTGCACTTTCCATTGAAAAGCATTTTGTGTACCATCTATATTAAGCTTTCGAACTGACCTCGAGAGCCTCCTGCGCTGTGTGGAGGTAGTCCCTCAGCATCGCCTCCTGAACACTCAGCCATTCTAGCCTCGGGTCTTCTAGCTGGGTCACCTCTGCAAAAAATAATTTTATATGAAACACACATATATGACTTCAATAATCGCATGGCTCTATTAGATATTCATATTTCTATTAGACTTTATTATAGGCTATATTCTATAATAGGTTATATCTTTATTATAAGACTATATAGTTTTCATGCGACATATGATAAACAAATCTTAGGACCGTTTTAATCAACATATAAAAAAACAATAGCATTTTGTACAATAGCTTCTTGACTCTGTTTTTCTTCAACTTACATGTATGTTTATTGTTGTTTTATTTATTTTTATTTAAAAATAATCTCTACGAAGCAACAACAGCGCACGTGGACAATCCTAGTATCCTCCTCTGTGCTCTACGCAAGTCCAGTGAACTTTTTTATTTATCTTCGGTTTTCGGAACAAATTCGAAAATTACATCTATTACAACTAAAGCATAAGCATACAAAAAAAACAATTGAACATCACGTGGAAAAGAAACGAGACGCTTTCCGGGTAGGTACTATCGACGATTTCCTAATAAACAGTAAATAAGGTCTCGACACGCAACATTAAAGAAATATTTTTATGACCGCTCAGATAGCGACGGCGCCGTTGCCTGATAAAATATCGGTACAAATATTCATTTCGGAATAAGCGATTTAGTTAATCTCTAATAATTAATTTACGATACAGATTCTTGCTTAAATGAAGTTATAAGTTTTTTGATGTGAAACATCTATAGCCGCACGTAAAACCGATTTCTGGCGTGGCGACGCATGCCGTAGCGACGCGTCGCCACGCTATATGATTGTATATATACAGTCTATATGCAGTAGTGTGTACGGTGTGGCGACGCGTCGCCATGCGCAATCGACTGTGCGATTCTCTCTGTGTTTTACTTGAAAACAAATTATTTTTTCGTAATATTTTATTTTATCATTATGACATATTTTTAGTTCCTATCACAATCTGTTCTTTTCTGCATATTACTTTTACAAAATAATGTCGATGTTTCACATCTGCCAGGCGTCCCGTGACGGCACACATTTTTTTTTCTTTCTTCATATTGTCAAAGGTGCTTTAATAAGTAATGGTAGTGTGTGGTAGAATTTGTTGAAATTCATATTGGACATTACCATTATTGATTTGAGAAAAATCGACTATTACCTATCTCGGAGCGCAATTTGTATTAAGCGGAACCGGGAGCTAATGGGCATCACAGCATGAAATGTATCACCCAGTATGAGTTTTTAGAAACCTCAATTATATTTCTAAGCTGCTGGTTCACTGGTAAAAATTATTATGAAAATCCAGAATGTGATAAATTTAATTTTATGGTATTTAGAAATCTAAATCTTGCTGCAAATGTTAATAATAATAATAATATACTAATCGTAGAACCAAAACCAGAAAAAGTAATAGAGACAACAAATGTAGAAACAGAAAAAGTCTCACTCCCTATTGCACGTTGAAATGGATATGTGGAGATATAAATTCGGTTTGTAGTCGCGCTGCTGATCGCAAAACTTGTGCCACATCTCTATGCAGAATGATAAGAAGATATTCTCTGCCTAACCCACACAACGTGGGATAAGGGCAAGCAGAATGTGACGATAGAGCCTACCCTTACGAGTTGCCAATACATTTGTAGGTGCCATAAAAGATTTAGAACTTCTATATCGAATATTCTTATTGCAGGAGCACTTAAAACGTAACTAACTACAGAAAGAATACTTATACATACATTTATTAGTAATATTCCTCGTCATAAAGTTCACATAAATCTAATGAGTACCGACACTTTGCACCGTTTAATGGAGGTTAAAAAATTAATGTTATAGAACCAATCATAGAGTCACAACCAGCTGCATTCACCAAGCACTCGGTGACCGCGTGACAACCAAAGTACGAACGATCTTTCAATTATTACTCTCAATTCTGGAGCAAGCAAGGCCGGAATGATTCCATGGAGTGATTGCTGCTCACTAGTCGAAGATTAAATGACGTGTACATGCGCAGATTTGTAAAATCTACGGTCAATATCCAATATACTAAATAGTATTAAAAACCACATAAATAATTGCATTAATTCTTTATAAAGTTTAGTCTATTCTAAACATGTAAATATTCTGTGTACATTTTTTTCTGCTAATAATATTTATCTTTAAAGTAGTTAGTCTAACATATTATATGCTTGTGCTGCTCTTAAAATCACAGATTCGCGTATGGCAAAACTGACCAAATTTATTTGTATCCAGTAAATGTTTTTCTCTCTATGCACCTGTCATTTTTGTACATACTTTGCCATTGGCAAAATTAATGCCAAAGTTCTTATTTTCAAAAATAATAATAATAATAATTGCATTTATAAAATATTCCGGATTTAAACTGAAATTGGAACACGAAAACCACAGTATAAGCACGAATCGAAACCATCTTATTAATCCAAAAACCGTACAAGAATTCACTGACAAAAAACTTTCAAATAAATAGGTACGTTACAAGAAAACGAACAAATAGAAGTAACATAATTCAATCAAAAGAATTAAGAAGCGAGTTCAAAGAGCTCCAGGCACACACGTACTTCAATAAACACAAACAAAAGTAACGCATTAAATATTCATAGAGGGCTAACCGATAGTAAACAATAACAAAGTTGAAACGGACGTGTCCGAAATACAACACGTGAAACATAAAAGTGTTGACCACACGCAGCACATATTTATATATGCAAAGAGTTCAACGATTGAAGAAGATAAGATCGTCGCACCAATAAAAGGTAACGGAAGTCATTTTATTTCGAGTGTGAACAAATACAATCGTAACGAAAATATTTAGTTAGACGTATCTTAGAAAGGTTGAACCGGTCACCGTCCTCGGCGAACCCATCGCTTGCGACGAAGGGCTCGACGAGCGAATTAACCCATAGACACAGCCCACTGAGTTTCTCGCCGGATAATCTCAGTGGGTAGCGTTTCCGAACCGGTGGTAGATTCTGCGAAGCACTGCTCTTGCTAGGGTCAGTGTAAGCAACACTCCGGTTTGAGCCCCGTGAGCTCACCTATACACGTTAGGGCGAAGCTGAAATAACCTTTCAAGGCTATCGGCATAGGTAGGAAAAAAAATACAGGTGCTTGAACGGTGGTCCCTTTAAGTATCGGTTACGTTGATATGATTATTAAATAGGTCGATATTTTTTTACCGAATCACATAACACCAATAAAATCAGCCACAACATTCGCACACACAAATTTTCTCATACTTACAAAAATACTAAGGAATGTTAAGGATCACAATGCAATGCAGTTCGCATCGAACACACCAAATGGCCAAAACATAATTTAGTTTTCTTAATTACAGAAGCTGAGCATGCTTTTAGCATACATATTTTATATATTTTTGTAGTTTAAATACCAAAATCATTAAGTAAAAATCTATCAAAAGCAAGGAGAATAAATACAAAAAGCCCGCAGAAAATAGACGTGAAACGTGATCGTATATTATGATAAAATATTAATGCTTTAAACTAAATATGCAAAGTGGTGGACTCAAGTAGAAATATACATACTTATAAACGGACATTCCAAGCATTTATCGTTGAAAAAAGGAGATAATACAAAAGACACGGTACGTTTAAAAAACAAGTCTTTAAGTGCCCCTTCTTGTTTTGTGTGCGAAACATATATTTGGAAAGGCGGCAGGGTCACCTGTTGATTGAAAAGTCGCTTTTTCATCCCAATGGAATTTAATTAATTTGAAGACATATTAAGTAAATAGATTTATGTTTCAATTTTTTTTTTTTTTAATCCTTGGATGGGTGGACGAGCTCACAGCCCACCTGGTGTTAAGTGGTTACTGGAGCCCATAGACATCTACAACGTAAATGCGCCACCCACCTCGAGATATAAGTTCTAAGGTCTCAGTATAGTTACAACGGCTGCCCCACCCTTCGAACCGAAACGCATTACTGCTTCACGGCAGAAATAGGTGGGGTGGTGGTACCTACCCGTGCGGACTCCCAAGAGGTCCTACCAATGCAATGTAGTACTGAGCTAAAATAAAACTTGATTAAGATAAAAATGAAACACATATAATATTTCATTGATACGTTCAAGATTAATATTTAATTCACTTTCATAAATTTACTATAACTATTTCGTGTATTGGAAATTCATGTACAAATGAGGATTCAATAAACGTTTAGATATAGATACATAATTAAACATTTATTGAACTCCGTAACCGAAAATTTTGTTTAGAATTTGTAGTGCCATTTTTATTGACATTGACAACACTGTAAAAAGTTATGAATGCGCTCTGTGTTCACCATAAACTTCATACTATTTTATTTGCCTTATTTTTAGTATATTCTCCGATTTTTTATAGTCGGAAACTGTTTAAAACTACTGTTACAGTTTAATATTCCATTTTTGATGGCCGCGAACCATGAAAGTAGTAGAGTATTAGAAACATCGGTAATAATACATATAATAATACACGCATATAAGGACAATAAAAATTGCAAGACTAATAGGTAAACGTACTTTTAATAAACCCTTATTTTCTACCTAGATTGAAGTTGTGTTTTCTATCTATAATATTAGAAAGCTGAGTTTGTATGTTTGAACGGGCTAATCTCAGGAACTACTGCTCCGATTTGAAAAATTCTTTCAGTGTTAGCCCATTTATCGAGGAAGTCTATAGGCTACATACAACATCACGCTAAGACCATTACAAGCGGAGCACCAATAAAGAATGTTTCAAAATCAGATTTATCCCCTTTTCAGAGCCTCCGCTGTGTGCGCTGCAGAAACGGTTAAAGTTTCGCTAAAATAATGTATGACAGAATTATTACAACATACGTCTATATGTTAAGGTTGGCTCACAATAACGTTTCTTATGCTAACCAAATGTGTTCTAAAATAAAACATTATTTGTGAACTATTCCACGCGGACGAAGTCGCGAGCAAAAGCTAGTTATTAATAAACGAATATTTCAATAGGTTCATTATGTGGTTAATAGACAT